TCACAAGGGGGGTGGTGGGGGGGGGGAAGAAAAAGCTGCTATTTTCTGATGAAGGTTTCAGACCAGCAAGTCTTGGACTGGAACTGCACCTGGGTTTTCTCACCCTTCTTTTGCTGGTGCTGCCACTGGAGTGACTCGTAGGCAGGAGTGCGGGACGTGGCACCTTCCCAGTTCCAGCAACGGCTGCTCGAAAGGATGGCTGGTGCCACGTCCGCTTCAAAGCCGTGGCAGTACCGGCAGGAAACCTGGGTTCTGCCACAGCTCCAGGATCTTCCTTTTGCAAAATGGGGGTGATTTTACATGCCACCTTGAAAAGCTGTATGGAAACGGCAGGCTCTCCAATTCCCATGACGCTCCATTGATCTATTTTCCATCGGTCACCTCACCTACGAGAGCCACTGCTGCTACAGCTGGATGTCCAGCAACAGCAGGTGAATTCTCTAATCCCTCTAAGAAAAGGAAGTGCCTATGTAAATGCCCTTTCAATTCCCACTGCACTGCACATCTCTTGCTCAGTTATGTGCTGGGAGAAGGGTATGCTTCTGTCTGTAGTACTTCAGTGCAGGCACGCAGCACAAGTATGCTCGTTGTATCCTTCCCTTTAATGAAGTCATCTCTGCAAGCACTTCCACTGACAAGGGAAAAGACTACGTCATTTCATTTATTGAACTAATGTTTTGGCTGCTTTGCAAAATACAGGAAAAGGGAGGAAGGGCAGAAGACAGGGCAGACAGAATAGTTTGAAGAGTGCTGCCCTGGAGCCGGGGTACTGAGAGCTCAGCTCCCTTGCACGCCCCAAATAAGCAGCAGTCCTTGTGCTGGGACTGCGAGGAATTTTGAAGTAAGCCTATCACCTCCCTTGCCACAGAAGATTAACCAGCCTAGCCACAGAAGACTTCTCCTTGTTCTGTTTGAACTGCTGTAATTACCAGAGGAGAGCTTTGATACAGACACTTAAGGAGCGGGAGTGGGTTGTTTTCCACATGACTTAAACTGTTTGCAAAGTGGCATAAGTTAACGGTGGGGGGAAAAAAATGTCTCCTTGTATGAGAATAAAAACATCTATACAGGCATTATGGCTACAGCAGCTTAAATCCACCCCCTTCTATAAACGGACGTTCTTCTCCCACACAGGCTGGCCTCTAGTCCTAATTATTTCGACAATTCGGGGCGGTTATTGCACGTGCTTCTTTCACAGGGTGTCCCACCCGCTGCTTGCTGGTCTGTTAAGCACAGGTTTCTGGTCCGAGACCCAGCGGCAGCGCAGCTGGGGTGCTGGCAGGGGACGCGCCGCAGCCCGTACCTTGGTTACAGTCGCAGTTGGCCCAGCCGACGGCCCCCGACGTGAGCCGGTAGAAGCACCAGGGTGTAGTTCCCCCATCCGGGTTCCTGCAGTGGTTGTGGTCCCCCAAGCCACGGTCTGGGTACTGCTGAACGTAATCGGGGAACTCTGCCCAGCTGAGGCACTCTGCCCCGGCCTCCGTCACCGCCAGTGAGCCGTTGTAATACCCCAGGGGTCCGGCTCCACACACGCCGGGCGCTGGGCACGGGAAGGGAGCTGTCAGCATCACGTCACGTAAGGCATTGCGCACCGAGGCTCAGACAACATGAGAGATACCAGCTGATCTCCCGAAACACCTCCCGTGCCTGCAGCCTTGCTCACCGCTCGCTTCGTTTTAATTCTATCACTCCTTAAGGCAGTTGCTCGAAGAATGTTTACAATACGCACTGTATCTCAACCACAAATTGACCCGAAAGGCAGGAACTGCCCAGGCAGACCTCTGGAATGTGTTAGCTCTGGGCCCAGACCTGGACAGTTCGAACGGGTTCCCATTACCGGTTATTTCAAAAGATGTATTCACTCACTCAAGCAGCACTTGAGCCTGGCACACACGCCTCCGCTTCCTCCCCCACCTGCTTTGGCATCGGAATAAGATGCTCTCTCAAATTTGATCCTAGGCTCTTTAGAAGATTAATTGCCTGTCTGAATTGGTTGAAACTGAGAAGGGTTTAAAATAACCTGTAATTTCATTCTGTAAAGCAGCAAGGTGGGAAATGACAGAGGATTTCATTGTATGTATGTTCCCTGCACACATCACCATATCACCCAGCTTCTGTGAACCCGGCCAATGTACATGAAGGGAAAGGGAGCCCATTTTAGGGAGATGTGCAGGTGCCAACATTCCAGGCCAGTGCTTGTGTGAAAAGTCTCATGCAAATAAACCCCAACAATTAATTTAATATGGTCTTTAACAAAAGAAGAAAACCCTCCATTCAAGATCCTTAAATAAGAAAGGGGGAAACCAGAACAAGATTCTGTGTGAGGGCGGGCTTTCTAGAGTGCCTAACACAGGAAACGCAGACTGAAAAATAAGTAACAGTTACAGCTCTATTCATCGAACAAACAACAAGAAGCCAGCACTTTCCGAAAGCCCTTCTGCCGTAAAGGCACGTGGGGCAAACAGCAAGGGTACAAAGAAACTTTGCCTCGTGCCGTTTGCCTTCTAGCCGCTGCCAAGCCCATGTGGGGTAAGTGCCAGCTGAAGGTGAACTGCAAGGCACAAAACTAAGCAGCAGTTACAGGTCGGTGTCTGGAAAACACACCACATGCTTGGCATCAGCTGGGACCCTCGCAGGGGGCATGTGAGAACTCAGGAGTTATCAGAGTGGAGGAAAGGTGAGCGTGCAAAAACAAAAACTGAGGCAGAGAAAGAGATGAAAGGAAAAGAACATGTGGGAGGAATAGAGAACTGCAAGAGTATTAGATGTGAAGAAAAGAAAGCAGTCTGGCCATTTTGGGGAGCGGGATAAACAGACGACACTGAGGCGGGAGAAAAGACTGAAGAAGCAATGGAAAGAAAGAAGGAATGCCAGGTAGCAGTGGCTCATTGTAGCTACGGTCTCAGATCACCACTGCTGGAAAGAATCTGCCTGATGACTGAATTAACAAGTTCTTGTTCTTACCTGCACTCTGCAAATGGTTTTGGTTGGGCTGGGATCCCAGGAAAGCCTGGGAAAAGAAACAGAGCAAAAGCAGAGAGATGATTATCCGATGAAATAAACACGGGCATGTCGTAAAGGCAGCTTGGCCTTTTGCTGCTTTAGGCAAACACACCCTAGTAACCAGCCTCTTCCCCACTCTCCCCACTGCTCCTCTTCAAATCCGGTCCCAGCTCTGCCCACTAACAGCAAAATGAATAATTACTGGCCTGCAGAGATTTACCCTCGATCTAAGCACTACATTACAGGGCTCTGCTTGTTCTTTTCCAATAGGATTGGAAGCCTGAGTGAGATGCCTGTGCAAAGAAAAGCTAGAAAAAAGTCATTTTTATCAGTAAAAAAAA